CTGTGTTATTGGCAAATATATTAATGTACCTTTGCCAACTTGTGGATTATTACCTTTATAAATACAAAATAGTGAAACAAACAAACGAAAAATTCATTATTAACAAACAAACGAAAAAGAAAAAATTGGATGTTGTAATCAAAATGAATGAATGGTTACAATGAAGGAAAATGAAATGAAAAAACATTTATCCCTATTGATTGATTAATTAATCGAATGAAACGACTATAAATCAATTTTTCATTTTAAAAACCACCACACCAACATTAAATACGCCTTAAAATAAACACACACACACAGACACACACCAAATAACCGATTCAAAATAATCAACATATTGATTGATTGATTGAAAATAGATTTTTTTGGTTTTGTCTAATTCATTAGTTTTTTTTGCTACTTGTTGTCCATTGTGTCCATTGGATCAATGATCGATTTTTGTCTATTCAGGTCCCCGAAAAATGATAATAATAATAATAATCACTACGCGAAAATGCCAATTTTTCTTTCCATTCTTACTTTTCATTTGTTTGACGCTAATTATATTTGAATTGAAATGAAATGAAATGAAATGAAATGAAATGAAGAAACTGACTATGGTAATTGGAATCAAAATGAAATTTTTTACGATGATCACATCAAATTAAAATCAAATTAGCTTTATATGTGTGTTTCTCTTCTTTACAATTTTCATTGTTTTGTTGTTGAATGTGTGTGTATATTGAAAACAATGGAAAAAATACACAGATACTTTTGGCCATATCTGCGTTGAAGCGTGATTATTATTATCACCATCATCATCATCATAATGATGATGATCATCAAACGAATGATTTTTCTGTTTTCTGTTTTCCACTAAATACAATGAGAATAGCATCAGAATAAATGATGATCATCATCGAATCGAATGACCAATGACAATGTCAAAAGAATCATTTGTTTTTGTTTTTCAGTGGATGATACAGCAAAGCAACGATAATAATAATTAGTGGAAATAATTAACGGGGAAACAAAAAAAAAACAAATGCGTTTTTACAAGGATAACAAAGGGTTAAATTATTGACTTTTTTTCGTTTGTTAACTGACATTGAAATGAGATGAATGAATGAATGAATGGGGGAAAGGGGAAAAATCAAACAAACAAAAAAATCAAAAACTTACCAAATAAAAATTCCAAACGAATTTTATTATTATCTTGATCATAAACATTACGTAGTTGGATGGCCAAATAAAATGGATCACCACGTCGTATAACCAATGCCGGGTTATTTTTTTCCAATAATTCATATTTATATGTATGATGTTCTTTTGCATTATCACGTTGAAATAATTCAACACCGATTACATCGTTTGGTACCGGTCCTATGTGTGTTTATTCAATCAAAAAAACAAACAAAAAATTATTATTAAACAGTTCTTTCCTGCAAAATAAAACAAAATAGAAAATATCATCGAACAAACAAACTAGGCCGAAGAAACTTTCTGAAATGCAAAATACAGTATTCAAAATTCAAGATTATCCAATCTATTTTATCAATGTCATCCATAATGGATTTTCCTTATTTTTTTCTTTTCTTTACAAAATCATCATCATTATCAACTTCAAATACCTAATGAGTTTTTTTTTTGTTTTCCTGAAATGAATGTCGAATGTAACAAAAAATTAATAATTAATTTTTTTTTTGTTGTTGGAATAATCGAGGTCGAGTATTAGCCTCTTCGATGGATTTTTTGTTTTGATAATCCACACACACACACACACATAACATGTCGGTGTAGGTCAAATCATTAGCCATAATAATGATGATATATATTACGGATGATGATCATAAGTTTTTGTTTTGTTTTATTATTCAACCAAACAAACAAACAGCTGAAAAACATCCCATATATACTTTCATTCATTTTTGTTTGTTTCCAAAAGACGAGTGCAACAAGTGTTCAATATTTTTTGTTTCTCCAAAATAAGGATGTTTTTCGCTTGATTGATTGATTTTATCAACTAATTGTGTGCCTAATAGATTAGGTTGGCTGTACACATCCATCATATGTCAAATGGATCGATAATTTTTCAAAATGAAAAAAAATGTTTCGGAAAAACATGCATTCAATAAATATCATATAGCAGCAGCAGCAGCTAACTATCATCATTTTGATTGATCAATTAATGAAAAAGAAGAAAAAGTTTTTCATTTGGAAAAACCTTTTTTGCTGTTTTTTGTTTTTATTTTAGCATCCATCAAGATACATTTTTTTTCTTTGTTTCAGCAACAATCTCGCTATAGCTAATTTCCCATCCAAAAACTTGTGGTTCCAGCAAGTTTTTGTTTTCCTAGATTTCTAGATTTTTCCATTTGTCAAAGATGGTCATTTTTGGTTATCGTCATTTTTGTTTGCTTGCAATGA